CTGCTTACATGGAAGCTTGGAAGCTAGTCCCCCTTGGCTCCCTTTCAGGTCAGTGGAGAGTAATGGGCACTTTCAAGGTTTGATTCATTTCACTTCTCTGAGACAGCTGCTTTAGGATGAGATAAATTGCACTTCAGACTCTACTCACTATATTGACTACATCTCTACTGACTATGAATGGAGCCCAGGGCGCAAACATTACTCTTGATGAATTCAATCCTTTCTGGTTTTCCCATCATCTGCTCCAGGTACATCAACTAACAGATCACTGACTAAATTCAGGAAGCTAGTGATTATTAAACATCCACTGAGACTGGTAGGCAATAAGCAAATTTGAGAGAGAGAGAACTGAGGTAAGAATTTGGAGTGGGATTTGGGAGACTACACTAAATTTCAGTGCGCTGATTTTTTAATGATTACTAGCAACTCCCTGCTGAGTCCTGACAGCCAAATAAATTGTTAATTCTCAATTGCCTTTTTTTTTTTTTCTAACCACAGGTACATGAATTCTCAGTTATTTGCTAATAATAAATCATTTTAAAAGCTGTGAGCTTTTTGCTGCTTGATCAGGCATATGACAACTTGTAAAGTAGGAGATAGGCATGACTGATACTGAGAAACAACTGTTGTCCAATGTTTAATCTGGGTAGCAGCTGCATAAAATCTGAAGAAATTTGAAATAAGCCTATATCAAACTGAGAATGAAGAAGTTTGGACTACTATTAGACTCATTAATGCGAATATAATTACATGGTCTCCAAAGCCAGTACAGAAATTCCCTTACTGTACAGTCTTTAAAGGACATAGAACATACTAGGATCTGGACAACAGGGAATGCAGGACTAGACTCAGAATTATAGGTGTAAAGAAGCCCAGGCTAAGGCACATATTTTTGGCGATGTTAGTGTGCAGTGTATGTGTGTGTACACTTCAACTAGGCAGGAGAGCTGGCTGACAGTCAAGACTTATTAGTATGGTTGCAGTCCTATATTAAAGCAAATATCTCACTTTGAATGTATAAGTATCTCTCAACCACACTGCACCAGCTCTGCTTGAACTCCTCTATGTAGCATGTTTAAAAACTTTTTTGTTTGTAAACTCAGCACCTGGGTAAAGCTGGATGTCCATCATTTTCCAAGAACCACAGCTGTGAACCATCTCCTGAGATTATTAGATGAAATCAAGTCGGAACTTTCCAGAAAAGAGAAAAAGTAAATAGCATCACTGCCCCATTTTCTTGCCTCCTTTATTTACCCAATAAATACTCCCAAATTGGTACAGTCTTTGGGGATTTGATAAGTCCAGGCTTCAACCATTTTTTGTCTCAGATGACTCAAATTCACATCCCTTGCCTACTATCCCAAATCTGTCTTCACCACAGAACTACAGATTATTTTGAGGTGACAACTCAGTTTTTGTCCTGTGAGGTAGATTCATTACCAATATTAGCATAGAATAGGCTGCAAATGTTTGTATAACCCGCTCATTAAGAGTATTGTCCTGCTCCCAGAGCAGATACAGACCTCAGAATCTGATCCACATATCAGATAGGAGCATAGATTCCACCAAACCGCAATTCCTGTCTGAAGGGAATGTTGACACAGAGCACATTGCAAGTCACTAAATTCTTTGTACTGAATATAGGAGTACGGCTCCATTAAATACTTCAGGCCACTAACATAAATGAATAACAAAGGTAAAGTTAGGAATGTTTATGTAAAGAAACAACACAAAAGCGAGAAAGACAATTCCATCAACTTCACAGGCAAATGCAAAGGTTTCCCTCCTAAAAAACTGCAAATTCAGGTTGCATTAAAACCTGAATTAAAAGCTTTGAAAAAGTGTAGTCTTCACTTGGTACACATTAAGTAAGTGATTTCACAAGAATTGAGTTAAAGACAGATTTCTCCTGACAGCATCTCTATTCATATTTTCCTTGAACATAATAAATCCAAAAAGCTTGAAAATTCTGGTAGGACAAAGTTATCAGCTAGTGGTAAAAGATCCATAATCTTTACTTTGTAGATTGTATCAGCTTGATTGGAAGAAAGAGAACCACAGCTAGCAGATCTAACAACAAAGCTACTACCCTTGGACTGCTGATTAAACAGGAACAAAAAAATAGATAAAGGACAATGCAAAATTCTCATATACAACTAGAAATTTACATCAAAGTTGAGAAACTTGAGTGAGTGGATTCTTTCAGATATCTCAGAATTACCATCACAAAGGAGAGAAAGTCTGAAGCAGAAATCAAAAGTAGAATTCCTTTTGTAATATCAGTACTTGTAAAATTCAAGAGAACCTGACAAGACAAGGATATCTCAAGTGCATCAAAGGTAAAATTCAGAATAAATGAGAATGCCATAGCCCTAAACATACATGAAACCTGGGCTCCAGCAGTGTGGACCATTCAGCCCTTTACATTCAAATGCCTCCAAATAAACATCCATTGCACAGCAATAACAACTCTATTAGAACAAACATTTCTGAAGTAATTGCATTCCATGAGTCTCTGGAAGCAACTGCAAAAAAATAAGAGCTGCTGGGATGACTTCATCATGTGAGGAAAGCAAAAAGCCTTGCAAACACACAGAAATATACAGCTAAAAACTCTTGAGTATCCTGAGCGCAAATACACCTAATGCTGAATCACATATATTGGACCATAAGTTAGCCACAAGAAGCCAGTGGTGGAATATTTTTTCTGAACAAAATGCATACTCCACATAACCAGTCACAGAAGAAGGCACGGGTGTGTTGCACATCAATCAAATTAGACTAATCGGAGTAAGCTTTTCCAATGAGCTAAGAATTTTGCATAAATCTGAGCAGAAAGATTGAATTGAAAGCATGTGTATGGCTTCAGGGTAGAATCCAAAAAGTCCGAGGTTTACTAGTGTTAGAAAAAGATCTAGCCTATAGTTGAATAGATTCATTTGGAAGTCATGAGAATAAAAGAACTGAATATATTTTTTCAGTACTGTAAATTAACAGTCTTCTTGCCTTTCAAGAAACAGAAGGACCAAAACCTTCATGAATGGTAGGAAATATATTTAAAACCCAAAAAAACTTAAAACTTTCAAAAAACTTTAATTGAATATTTAAGGTATTTATTGAGTATAAATACTAGTGGTATAAATTATATAACTAATTGTTTTATAATTGTAATTCTAATTATTCTGACTGGATATAAACATAAATACTTATTATGTCTATTAGGGTTTTTAAAACTTTTTAGGCTTTTGATAAAGATATGCTAGCACTTCAGCAGTATATTGCAAAAATCTCTGTAAATAAGAACATAACCAGATTTGCATGACCCACTTCTAGTTTTCAATGGAGCAAATTGTATGCTGCATAGACGTAGCTTTAACGATGTCAAAAGAAATCTACCTACCATCCTAATTCTATACAGGCTTATGGATGATTGCAGCAAAAGGCTGAACATAATTCTGACAATGTCTTTGTGTGTTCATTTACCTAGTGAACATCAACACACAAATCTTAGTGAAATAGTGAATTATTCACTTATTTTTAATGGAATAATTCCACTCAAATCAATGGAACTAAACAATATAACCCAATGGGGAATCTATCAATGGTGTTCCTAGAGTCACTTTAACTTTTTTTAATTTAAATAGCATGCAGGGTTTTTTCCTTTTTTGTTATTAGTGCAACTATATAATTTTCTTGTATATCATACAAATTCAGAATGTTAGTTTTACATAATCCTGTTTCTGTGGGAGTAAGATGATAGAATTTTTTTTTAATTGGTGCATTTTATATGAATACAAATTAATGTCCACGTATTTTCCATAACATATTTGTGCATCCATCTGGTAATCTACCAGACCATAACAGATGAAGCTCCACAGGGTTCTCAGGAACGATGTTGCATGACAGCAAGCTACCACCACCAGAACAATTAATCTAGTGTGCACCTTCTCCCCACCTTTCAGAGATGAGTCTGGAAGGTTCTATGAATTGGTTTGGTTACATGAGGCAGCCCATGGGTCCCTCATGTCATTACCAAGGCATCCCCTCAGGTCTTCAGGCACAACCTGGGGAGTGGAATGTGCTATACATGTGTTACATGTACATATAGTAGACAGGTACAGTAAATCCAACAATGCCAGAAAGCACTGGACCTGATACATCTGGGCAGATGAGCTGAAATGTATACTTGTCACGATGAGATGGAGAGGTAGTGTTGTGTTTGGATTGTACTACAGATCAGACACCATTCAGACACCATTTAATGCATTATGGTATTTTTAAACTTTATGGGAGGCATCCAGTCTATTCTCATCATTTCCTTATGTTTTTTTACCATGTTACTGAAGCCAGCACTTAGCAAAGGAATCAAGATTTGTCTCAACAGTGAAATGGGTTTCCTAGGCTACTCCTGCTCTGTCTAAATTTCTGGAACTCTGGTAAGGAGCACTATGAATCTGCATAAAGTATTAAAAGAAGTCCGTCTGACAACATTTCCCACAAATAGCTTGGGCAAGTTATTTATGGCCTCACAGACTCCTGTCATGGCTAATGTCAGTGATTAGCTAAGATGATCCCTTGGTACTCTAGCAACAGGTCTGACTGCCTAATAGGAAAGCATTCAAATCTATGTCATGGACATTGATTCTGTCACTTCAGAACAAGCTTTCACAGCATCAAAGTATTCCCCGTTGCCAGAACGCTGCCACTTTCTCCAGAAAATGGACTATCTCATGATTTACTCTTCTCAGCAATGATCAGTTCCTTTGGGCCTGACCTGTGCTGCCATGCATACCTGAAGAACATTAAAGATCATGTTGTGGAGAAATAAGGAAACTGATGTACAAGCTACTAAGTTGTTTGTTTGTTTGGTTTTTTTTAATTCAATAGGCATTCCATATTGGGCAGTTAAAAATCTCTGCAACATAGTTTCCAAACATCTGAGACCCAGTATTAAGCTCTCATACCACATTTTCTCGTAACCATCTCATATACAATCTACTTGTAATCCACAATGGGAGAAGCTCATAGGACTGTAGAGATTAATGCACAGAAAATCTGAAAAGGAAAATATACCTTTAAATAAACAAGAAAATAAGTCAAGCAAAACAAAGAGTACATTCCCCATTGTTTGCCTCTGTCACCTGGATACAACTCTAAAGGCAAGGGATTTTCATGTAAACTGCTAATGAATTTCCTAGGAACCAAGGTTCAACAAAGCTGAAAAGCATCTGTTCAGTTTCAGTGAGACTTGAATACACTGGGTAACCTCTTGAGAACTCTTGATACATCTTTGGTATGGCTAAAAGAGAAGAAAAACAAAACTGAAGGAGTCAGCTAGATGACTAAATATTTTTATGCACCTGGTTTAAAATCCCAAATCCTTGTTGAGTTATGAAAAAGACAATCTGTTAGTTTGACCTGCACTGAACTGAACATTTTCAGAGCTCGTTGATATAAACATTCTCAAGAGTTAATTGGCATCCACATTGCACCAACTCAGTAACTGAGGAATGCTACAACATAGGACAAGTCTCCATTATGTCTCATTTCATACAAGTCCACCATCCATCATTCCACAATGAAATACAAAAAAATTGCACAACTACAGTTGGTAGTACCTACATATTTCCATTCCTAGAGAGGAAAAAATAATGCTTTCTTTAGGCACAGACCACACAAAGAAAAAAGACTGCCAGAAAGTCAGAAAATTGATCAGTGTATGCTCTCAAAGGACCTTGAGCTACTAAGGTTTTTGACAATATAAGAGCAGTCAGGTGCCGAGGCTTTACAGGACTAGTCACATCTTGGATAGGTTCCATTTGGCTCCAAGCAAAAAGATACTAAGACTCGAACATCTGTATGTATGAAAATGAAACAAAGCATTTGTCAATACTGAGAATATATCCAGTATAAAAACTGATTTAATTAATTTCTAAACAAAGAAAGTGTGTGCATAAGCCAGAAGACCAAAGATATATCTGTGCCTTCCTGTTAACAATGCATACCAAGGACCAACTACTTGACCAAAGGAAAAGCCTTTTGTAGATATCATTGTTCCCATCAAAGATCAGACAGACATCATCTTCTTTACATTATAAGATCAATTACTTTGTCAAAGAAAGTCCAAAGCAGCTACACTATATTCTAAATATTTTTCTAGGGGAATTTTATAAGCATAGTGCACTCCACCAACTGTTCCAAAAATGGGAGTCTGTGCCACTTAGTGTGAGATAGATAACATATAATTCTCTAGAACAGGACTACTTTTTGGTTTGTTTGTTTTTTGGGTTTTTTTCATTTGTTTGGTGGTTTTGGGGTGGGTTTTTTTTGTTGTTGTTGTTTTGTTTGGTTTTTTTTTCCTTTTTGACAGAGTAGGACAACAGGAAGTAAACAAAAAAGCTGCTCTATGTGAACTCTCACCCAAAAAGTGTGAGAGCATAATAGCCTTACTTCCTAAATTTAGTTAGAACTGTACTCTGTAATAAAGATGAGGAAGAACAGTGTTAGTTATATTGGTAGATTAGGGTATCATCCTTCATTTTGGACAATCACAGGAAGTCATTTGCTGACATAAGGAGTAATGCTGCAAACAAAATGTCTGTTTGTGTGACATGAACCTGCAATAAAAGATGGGAAAGGCAAATTTCTTCTTCATACCCTTAAGAAGCAACACACCACTAAGCCAGCCATGCCAACATAGTATGGCATGTGCCAATGTTGTTCCAGAGATTCTGAGAGTCAGAACACACAAAAATATCAAGTGACCACTTATGCAGAATTACAATTGAATTGTCCGAAAGTACAGTTAAAAGTAATTGTATTTGTAATCCGAAACCTATCTCTGAAGAAGCCCATCTAAGAAATGTTTGGAAAGATTATTCAGAGCAGAGGGCAATGGTAACAAGATGTTTTTGTTCATTATATTTTGATCATTATTTGATCATAAGTGGGCAATAGAATACTTTAAAGTAATCTGCAATAATCACTCCAACTATAGAAGAACTGACTGAAACAACCTTAATGTCTAACTCTCTGGGTGCAAGACCATACAAAAGACCAAAGAAATAAAGGGAGTAACGCCTCTTTCAGGAAGCACTAGATGAAGATGGCATTTTGGTAGCCAGGCAATAAAAATTTCTATTTGTTCCAGAAATATAAACTTTTTCCTGATTTCTGTGCTGCAGAGGAATGGGTAATACATGTACTAGTTCAACTAGTTTAACTGAAAAAATCTATCAGCCTACCACAACCCTGTAACGTGCTGCATATTCTTCTGAAGTTTAGCTTAGACCAATATGTCCACATTATTTTCATTAAAATATCTATTATGTCTCATTAAAAAATGTGTTTTCACACCCATGCCCAGATTAGCTAGACACATAAATCTAATTTAAATACAGTAAGAATCACTATGTCTACAAAGAATCACCAGAAATCATTTAAAAAAAATGCAGTGTAAAATAATGGAGACAAAGACCCAAAGGGACAGTATGATCTTAAGATACCATTTTTACATTGACGTCTTTTGTATATACAATTTTTTTGTACCTCATCTGTTATGGAAGGGAAGTAAATATGACAGGAAAACATTCCGGTTATTATTATAACAATTACAGGCACACCAAGGATGAGGTCTGACTGAAGCTAGTTGTACACTTTCTCTGTGTGACTTCTGTAGGGAAGTCATACAAGACAAAGCCATTCTACAAACTGGCAAAAATAGAAACACACCTAGTGCTGATATTATTTCGCAACATGTATTTTAATACTATTCTTAACATCCTTAATACATCCACTGACATCTATAAAGGTAATAAATTAAAACCTTTCTCTGTATTTAGTTTTTCTTGGCACTGAGACATATGTACTATATGACACTGAAGTCCCTATAGTGTTAATACTTGTTTCTTGAAGCAAAAGAATTCCTATCAGGAAAAAAAAAATCAACCAACCCACACTACTTTTGATTAGAACAGTTTAATCCTAATCCCTTTTCTCTGATCTTGGCAAAGGATTTTTAGCAAGTAACTATATTTAAATAACTACCCAGAATTAATCCTTTTGGTTGCTCAAGGCATGAAGGGAAAGCAGTCAGAAACAAAGAATTCAGAAACATGTTGCAGCTGTTTCATAGAATTCACTATTTATAATTGAAAAGATTCTTTTATTTTCTTTCCTTTTCTTTTTCTTGCATGTGGTTTGAGGGTAACCTTCAACTGCCTTACTTGTCCTTTTCTTTTCACAATAGCAAAGAACCAAGAGAGAGACAGATAGGTAAAAAACATTTTCAGCATGAAGCTAAGTGTTTCTGACAGTTTCCAGTGTGCAGCACATGGCTATATGTAGAAAGAAGATTCTTTCTTCTATATAGTTTGGGTTGATTTAATAAAACTGGGGGGAAAAACTTCCTATTTTTAGTCTCAGCAGTAATTGGTTGAAAGCATCAAGCTTATTTCTAGTTTTCAAAAGTAGGAATTGCATGTACTCAGAAAGAATTTTGTGTGGAGCAGTAGTTCCTCCAGTCCTACTTTTCTGTCATAACACTTGATGCTTTCCAGATGCAACGGACCAATTTATCTACAGAACCCCATCCAAGGTGTAAGTAAATAATTTTAGACCCATTTCAAGTAGCAAAAATTGAGCCCAAAAGTACATAAGTCTAGATAAAAAGTAATCACGATGTTGCCCAGGACAAAAAATTCATTGTGTGACATACACAAAATGAGAATATTTAAAATATTTTCAGTGTTATCAGTGTTTTTCCACTCTTCTGCTTACTATTTAGACGTAGAAGCTGAAAGGTCCTCCATTCCTGGTACTCAATGCTATTCACATGACTTTTATATCATCCATAAGCCTTCCAGCAAGGAAGTCAAAGAAGTATGATCAGCAAGTGAATAAAGAGTATCCAGGGAAAAATCATGTTCTTCCTGAACCAAGCAATTAACAGGATCTTGCACGGTTAAATGTAAACATTCTGCCAGATCGATTGTCACTGCAGGGAATTTATGAAATTTGTTTCACACGTTGTATAATCTGTGGGTCCCACAAACATGGCAGAGAGAGACCAATGTTTCTAGTAACACACAAGTAAACTCATACCTAAGGTAGGATGTTATGAAAAGTAACAAAAAAAAATATTAGTAATTGTAAATGCAAAGCTGCTAGCTGCTTTGTCTGCTTGCATTATTTAAGAATGTACCATGACTTTCAATCCATTATACTTATAATAAAACCTTGTCTCTCTACAGTTTAAAACGACACTCAGAAATATTTCTCCTCTTTTTCTGCCTTCTGTAACCGTGTGACATTGCTAATGCAGAAGAAAAATAAAATCCAGATACCAAAGTCATGCTTTGTAGTCTATTAAAGCCCAGCTGTCGGCCAGAGTTAAGGAAATGATTGTGCTGTTTGTGCCATTTCTAATTAATAATAACTAAGGATTAATAAAGCAATTTGGAAAAAGAATGTACCAGGTAAGGATTTATAGGTAGATGAAAGTCATTGTATTGTAAATAATCATGGATAAAATTAAATGGAAGCTAAGACATTTATGGTGCAGCAAAAAAATGTTTAACACATTTTTCAAGCTCTGCATCTCTCGGAAGCATATTATTGGAGGCAGAGGTACCAGAATGTCTCAATTTCATCCCTGACAAATAGTCAGCTCAGAGATATCTGCAATGTTTAACAATTCTCTGTGTTGTTGCAAAAAGCATGAAAACTGATCTAATAGCAGGACTTGTCTCTGTTTATTGTTTATTAAGGCCCTTAGAGGCTTCACAGCATGCTGGGAGAGAAATGGTTTAAGCTTTACAGGAGACAGCCCCAGGAGCTGCCCTCAGGAGCTGCACTTGGCCTACTGCAGGAGGTTTATTAGGTCTTCTAGCAGAAAAAATAATAGAGTCCAGTTATGTTGGTCATGAATTTTTCTGCGATAAACAAAGGAAAGAGCAATTCCCCATTTACCTTCGAAGGCAGATCAGCCAGCACAAGTATGAAAATGTTCAGGTCTAAGGAAGTGTGTGCCGCTGTCACCCAGAGCCCATCTCACT